GTGTTGGATGTGCAGCAAAGATAAATAATAAGGTTTTGTGAGTGAATTTCGGTGCAGTCATCTGTTAGCATTTTTCGCTCGTTGCTAATTCAGAAAGTTGTGAATTGAGTGGCCTGTGTTCGTCGTCCATAACATACGCCTGCCCATACCATAACCCCACCACCACCGTGGGCCACTCGATTCACAACATTACCCTAACCCTAACCCTAACCCTCACACCAGATACTGACTGGTTTTCGGATCCCCCCAGACCCCCCCAATAAAGCAAAACTGCACGTTTCAGAGTGGCCTTTTATTGTGGCCAGCCTAAGGCACACCTGTGCAATAATCATGCTGTCTAATCAGCATCTTGATATGCCACACCTGTGAGGTGGGATGGATTATCTCGGCAAAGGAGAAGTGCTCACTATCACAGATTTTTTCAGATTTGTGAACAATATTTGAGAGAAATGGTTATTTTGTGTATGTAGAAAATTTTTTAGATCTTTGAGTTCATCTCATGAAAAATGTGAGCAAAAACAAAAGTGTTGCGTTTATATTTTTTGTTCAGTGTAATTACAGCTTAATTTCAATGTCACAATCAAACACTATTTTCCTTGACAAGAATTAATCAGATAATGTTTAAGATGAAATATTATGAGTTGGTATTTATGCTCCAAATGTATATAAATAAACTTAATTTTGGGGACTACGCCTCTTTAAACATTTAAGAAATTGCAAAGAGAATGAACTTTTTGCAAGCTTTCAAATAATAATGTGAACTGTGATATTCTACTAATATTTTTTACCGAGTTCTGTATTTGTTTCGTTCGTGTGTATTTCATAACCAGTGCACAAAAAAGGGCCAAGACAGGCTGCAGCTAAAATTCAGTATAGTGGGGAAAACCTAGTACATTGACCAAGAAACAAGCAGTAGACTAGCCTATAGACAACTCATCCAACAAAAACAGGAACAAAAATCTTACCCCTCTACTCCAACTGCAGTCTCAAAAGCAACCCGGCCCTGGTGAAAGAGACTCAAACATAATAAAGTACTATTTTATCAAACAGTAATATACAGCTTTATCAATAATTATTTTGCATGTTTATATGATGTTTTAGATTGGATGGGGATTTTATTTGACCTTATTGTTTATTCTGTCTCAGTCTCAATGGGATCGAATGTGTTTTATTATGAGTATGAATGTGTTTTAAAGTAGCCTAATTCTATTGTTTTTTTATTGTGGACTTCATTGTTTCCTTATGTCTGGACAACTGGACCAAAAATAATTTCTCTGTGGGATAAGAAATTGAATCGGAGCCAGCCTACCAAAGATGTTTCTTGTTTAGTGTCCAAAGGTTTAATAGTGGTAGTTTTGGCTTATTATACAGGGGCCCCTGACATTGAATTGATTTTGGTGTCTTATTACCAATATCCATTTAGCCTCCAATCAATGTAAATAAAACCTTATCAAATCAAAACTTTAGAACTCATTATCTACATATACCCAAAAATGTATTCTGGCAAACCTGGACTGTGACGCGTGGTTACTACGACGCACTTGCAAAGGAACCTACAAAAGCTTCCTTTGCTTGTTTGTGGAAGTGCGGTTCTCTGAGGGGAAGGGAGGACGCAGAGTCACCGGCAGCGCGGCTGAACTGTGTGTCAAAGTCGGGCTTCATCTGTGGATAAATGGCGCCACCACAGCGGGCAAAACCCAGAGCAAGGCCCGCTGTAACATTTCAAAACAAGCCGGGGAGAGGAGAGGCGAAGGTATGACACCTAGCGTCCATCACACATACTGTTTTACTGCACGTAAAGCTCCATTCATGCTCTCTAGTATCAAACTGTTCTCGTCACTCATGACATTGTTTCACAAATAGTAACCTAAACAATTAGTTGTATTTGTAGCGAGTTTTTATTTTGTCTAAAGGAAAGCCATAATCAAAAGAAAAAGATAGCGTTTTTTTTCTTGTAACGTTAGCTGATATTCAAACAAAAACAAAAAATAAACAAAGGTTGCTACAGTTCCAGTCTTCTTCACATTGGATGTTGAACAAAAATGACAATAAGTTAGCGACATGGAGGTGAAACGTCTTACTATTCTTGTAAATTAAATAGTTAGTGTGTCAAAGCAGAGGACTACTGCTCTCTGTGGGCTGAGGTTTGTAAGGCAGCACGGAAAATACAACAGGTGGTTTTCATTAACCGGCAACGTGACGTCACTACGGGGTGTGACCGGAAATAGAAGAATTGTTTTTATTGTTACCCACATTTGGAAGTAAAAACTGGAGAACATTACAAAACTGAAAATATAGTTAAGACTTGCATTTCATTAGGGCTGTGAATTGACATTTTTCCTTATCGAGTAATCTGGCAATCTTTTTTTTCAGTTAATCAAATTAATTCATTTAATCTATGATATGACCATCACAAAGTCACAGAGCCAAACATGACATATTTTAATATCTTATATATTACCAATATATACTTAAATCCTTGTTTTATGACAAAGAAGGGCAATAAATCATCTCAGTTGAGGCTGTAATCAGAGAATAATGGCAGTGTATCAATATTTGTGCACGAAGAATAACTAAAACAATCGGTTTTGAAAAAACTTTTTTCTCCCGTTTATCGACTAATGGATTAATTCTTTCAGCTCTAGATCAACATTTGTAACCTGCTGTCCATGTAAAATAAACTTCTGGTAATTCCTTAGAACTGTATTAAAAGAACTCACACAGGGTTAAACTTTCTTTATTGCCCTTCATTTTAACTTCAAATGTTTCATTGTAACATATTTTGCAATTCCCTGGGTTAAACACTTTGGATCTGTCCATTTGTTAACAACATCAAACTGTACACAATCTATAAAAACATAGAAACATCCCCCACATATATTGACATAACACTTATATTAAATTGGTGCAAGCGAAACTGGAATATCCAGTAATGTAAGTTACCATTGCATGTCAGTTGATATCTTCCATTACATGTCTGAGATCAACAGTTTAAAGACAGTAGCAGCATTAAAAACATCTTAGTTTTCACTGTAAAAGTATAAAAAGTTGTAATGGCTGTCAGATGTGGACCAAAGTTAACATTTGTCAGTTGAAAGCAGCAGCATAATACTGCAGACTGACAGTTATCCATATACAATTCTCAGTTGTCTTGCAGCTTTAAATGTCAGCTATACACCTGTGTGCTTATCTCGGCTGTGTCCATTAGTGAAGGAAGTGACTGAGATCCTCTTGAATCTCAGCCTCATCCCAGGGTCCGTGGATGTTGTCCTTGTGCCTCTGCAGTCTAACTAGCAGCAGGGGGCAGAGTAATGTAACACTCCCCAAGGCCAGGGCTAAGAGCACAGCCCCCCCTGGCCACTGGGACCCCAGACCACCCACTCCCGCGAAACACACTCCTACACACACCCCTGTGAAGTGGCTCGGGGCTTTCTCCCTGAGCCTCTGCAGCAGGCAGGGCCACAGGGCAAACACCAGCAGGGCACAGCTGAGCATGGCGAAGGTGTGCAGAGCCCCAGGTAACCTAGAGGCCAAACACACAGAGGCAAACAGGGCTGCATTCAGGGAGAGGCTGCCTGGGGGGGAGGGCTGGGCGTAAGGGAACGACACCAGGTGGGCAAGCAGCATCATGGCAGACATGGCGTACACTGTGTCGGTACTCACAGACTCTGTTAGTGTCTTCAGAACTGGCGAGAAGCCAAAGGTAAAGGAAAGAAAAATAGTGGCACTCTGTAAGTCAGCTAGACGGGTCCGCGGCTCACAGCCCGACTGCACTTGAGACATCAGGGCTTGGTGCAGTCCGTAACCCAGCAGAGCGCAGATAAGGCTGCTCCATAACAGCCTCTCAGGGGACAGCTGACCCTGGGAGGAAAGCACAACATAAATGTAGAATTATTGTATTTATTTATTTATTCAGGAAGGTGATAGTTCAGTTTTTTTAAGTGGAGTTATATTACCTACAGTAGATATCCATCCATAAAGGTTTGTTGCAATATTTGTTTTTGTCATTATGTGACTTTGGAAATTCAAACTTACTCTTTAAAACACAACAGTCTCAACATTCAGGTCCCCATCTGAAAGGGCTGTCTGTCAGCTAAGTAAAGCTTTGAAAATATTCTAAAGATATTGTACACTTCAACTTATTTCTTTCTTTCGTGCTTTAAATACATTTTGCTGCTGCCCGTGTCCACAGCAGTACTTTGCTTAGCTCCCCGTGCCGGCACAGCTGCCTGTTTCTACGTTAGGTAAAACAGTGACTATGACTTCGTACCTTATACAACTCCACCCCAAAATCTGAACTATCCCTTAAGGCAGTGTTTTTCAAAGTGGGGGCCCTGA